GTGATTTGGCCTACGAAGGAAAACATGAATATAGGCGAGACGACCGCTGCCAAGAAGCCTTTGATCGACAGAAAAGTCAGTCCCCCTACCACCACCTATAAACTTGGAGCTGATAAAACCATTTGTTAAACCACTAGACGAAGGTGGTGCTTGTTACAATAATCTTTGCAAATCATTCCTGGAGAACCTGAGAGCCTGCATCCTCGATGGTTCCCAAATTCGGCAGCTCACTACCGATCGAAATTTTGCGTCATGTATGAACAGTGTTAAAGCTTGGTGCACTTCCCGGTAAAGTTCATGGAAAAGCGACAGCGTACCAAGGCATGATCAGAGTCGACGCAAGTAGTTCAGAACGAGCGGCCTTCCACGTGGCACTTTAGCTCCCACTGTCTGGAGGCAGTGCTACCACGAAACAGCTGGTGCTCCGCACACAGTTGCAAAAGACGCTCGCCGTTGTCAGTCAGTTTGGAGGTAAGCCCATAATTACCACTCAGCTGAGCTTCTGTAGAGCTCAGACTCCCTGCTTGTGCTTTCATCTCTTCTGCAAGTACTATAATATGTGAACTAGTAGCACTGCGTAGAAGCGCGTTCAGTTCGTGAAATAATGTGTCCTTGCCAGCATCGGAACTGCAGTCGGTGGGAGCACAAGCAGAAACCACAAACAAACGGCGTTTGGTACTACTTTGTGAATCAACGTTGGTCGATGTCGTCTAACGGGCAGCACACAAACTGCTGTTCACCGGAATGCAGTCAATTAACAATGACTACGCCCTGGTGCTGAGTACGATATCTAACTCAGCTTGACCCGTGGGTGCCGCATCCGTGTCTCCGGATGCGTGCAAACAATAGCGAGAGAACAAGCCGGGAGCAGTTATTTCAACAACCCCGTGAGGGTCATTGATCCTATTTTCGGATGCACAACACACATCATCACTCAGTTTGTTAACCTGTTTCTCTTAGAGTGCGAAAGTTGAACGCCACCGGGGAAATGGGACAGCGTGGCTTTATAAGGGACTTTTGCCGATAAGCGTCTAGTGTGCGGTGCGGGAAGATAGCTGCAGATGGTTCGACTCCAGTGACATTACGGCTGCTGTCAATTGAACTGGGATTTATAGAAGCAAGGTTAGTAATAGGGTTGGGACGGGAGTAAGAGTAGCCGGTGGAAAGGAAGGTGGGGAGGCGCCAGCAGTAGCGTAATTTCGCTTATCCGCCCTGCTGTATGCGGCAGCAAAGGCGACCCTTAATGATCTGCGCGACGGCCGATGCTTGATGTGGTTAGAGTTTGGGGAAATTATCATGGTTATGTCTGGACTGGGATACTGTCAGGGTGCCCCAACCTAACGAACTTTAAGGGTCCTCAACTCAATCCTTTGGCTCAAAAGTCTGTCCGCAAAGCAACGGGGAGGTGGCAATGATTTAATTTTACAGAAATGCACCCCATCCCATTTCAAACCCCCCAGCATGGAGGACCAAAAGACTGTGTTTGTCAAAAATATGAAACGCTCCACGATTTTTCGTGTCATCTTTGCGCACCGGACATGCTAATTTTCTCCGTATGCTTCCAATTTTAGTATGTGTACTGCCTCAGCGCGTACACAAACCTACCCTGAAATCATACTAATATCATTTACGCCAAAAGCACTGTTTACCAATGCCATCATGCTTTGGAATTGAGTGTATTTCTCATTCTACTGAACAACCACATTGACTGTCACAAAGTGTAGGTTAAGTATCCACTTGCGTTTCACTTCACTTAAGCGTAATTTATGTTGGTTCAACGGTCTAATCAGCTTTCAAGGTTCGCCTTCTGCACCTAGGGAATTTAATCCATTACCGGTACAAGTTCTTGAGGTTCCCCCATATCAGTAAAACTATGAAAATGCATATAAAAGTAAATCGCTATCATACTTTACGGGATCTTTCAATGCGTGCTTTCCCCACTGGAATGCTATCAGACACAGTCATAGCACCTGTTTCTTGTGCGCTTCCACGTGACTGGTGATTACTTGAAACCTCAGACACTACTGTTATGAATGTAGTCATTTGACACCATCCTCGTCCACTGCAGTACACCAGTGCTTCGTACTGGCACCCCTTTACCATCTAACCATACATCGTTCTGAATGACAGCGCTGCTAAATAAAAAGGATTAGTGAAATGAGCTGAATTTCCATTTTACAAGCCTTCTGGGTCAGTGCGCCCTCAGCTTACGGATATCACCACACTACTATAACTATTCGATTATGGTGGTTTGATGAAGCGGTCATCTGGATCTCTACACTAATCTTTACGGATGTTTCGCTGTCACACAATTTTGGTGATCTTACTAATGCTGAATACCAAGGAGAGTTAAGATACCTCATGAGAAATCCAGAACCAAGGTGCCCACGCTCTTTCAACAACAAACGGTCACAAACGATTAGCTATCGGACCTAGATAGCGTTATAAGCCGGATAGCCTCTTTGCATCTTTCGCTGCCACCATGTTTATTAGCATAGGTTGCGTCTGGGCCGTCTGCAGTTTTTATTTACTCTTGTACCACAATTCGATTTCCTAAGCCGTTCCATATCAGTCAAACTATAAGAAAACGATTCTGACTGTTGCAGTACACAAACTAACTTTGTCAGTTCATTGTCTATCACCGCTAATGCAGAAAACAATGGAAGCATTCTAGTGGGCTACACTTCATTCTTCGCCGTTAAAGCTCAAAAGGCTAGCAAGGACTTCACTTTTAGAACGCGAAACGCTTCCACCTGCAGACATTATCCAGAGTTGATTGTGAAATAGTAAGGTCATGTTGATTTCACTATCAAACTTAATCATACAACGGGCAATTCGAAACGCGACAATCCATCGCGGACCGTCATGCTAGGTAGGGACCGCGGAGCTGATCAAGGAGTGGGCCGTAAATCATTGCGCATTGGGTTTCTCTTCCAATTCTCTCTCTACTTGGAGAGAACAGTCGACGACGAGACGAATGTGAGGTGGTTCGATGTTGCTGTGTGTGGCAGCAACACCCAACACTTAGAATACGAGCCACTGATTGAAATGAACTCGATTTGCTTCAGGATAAGGCGTAATTCAATTTATGATTACGTGTTGCAAGTTAGAAGCGGTGATTACTTGAAACTACACTAGAGTAGCTTTGCAAACTCACTCACTCCCGATGGTGTTCACGACAAAATTGAATACAAACGCAGAACTGGGCTGTTTTGGCCATCATCACGCTATCAGAATGACTGTCATTTCGTACTCCAACTTCATCTGATATGTTGCTGTAATGTACAGAGTACCGTTGTAAGTTATTCGGAACTATGCTGTACCACAAACCGTAGGGTTGACCAAATTAAAGGTAGTCTACGATAAACTGTTTGTTGAACAGTGCCGTTCGAGCACCTGGAGAAGAGTAGAAATACGGCCAATGAACTCTACCGGGGCGGAAACCTGATTTTCACTTAACTATGGATTAGAGTATCATTGAGCCCCCGCGCCATGATGCACGTGAGTAGGTCGTAGGCACTTGAAATAAGCCCTCCACGAAGGTTTTCACAGGACCCCCATTCACCACCTAACGATAGGGATGACGATTGACATATGGGAAGTGCCTCCTCCTTGCACTAAATAGAGTTGAACACAGTATCCAACCCGTTGGCTGTTGAGCGTTTATGCTTCTTCAGCAACGATGATGGAAGGTACTATGGGTCAAGCAGTTTGTCTCGCTCAAACAACACTTGCTCGCATCGGATCTCGTCTGTGGTGGGAGTTGTTACGTCAACGTCCAAGGCGGCACCAGATTGCTCGGCTAACAATTCTGCTACAACACACCGGCTGAATTGCTCTTCAGGGTGCCTTCTGTCGACGTAATTGTGAGTAGCTCAGTCCCACATCTTAGCCGGCCGTTGTTTCACCCACGGGAGCTTGCCTTGATGCGGTGCGTAGTATGATGGTACTGATCTCTCTCTCTCCCGGGCCCTCATTGTCCAGGAATGCTTGCGGTAGATCCTCAGATGACGTTTCAACGTGTTACAAATATTTGTCATCCCAGCAAACTCATCCTTTGGGTTACATTTAGGTAATCGGCGCTACAGTGGTTCATCCGCTGTTCCTGTGATTCATGCTATATGAAGGAACGATATCAGCTGCTTTTCGCCTGTCACTTTGGGGAGTCGGTTCCATTAGGTTTTCGACTTCTCTACCTCATTCTACAGTCAGGCAATCTTACAATTCAGACTGATATCTACTTCACCCATTGCGAATTCACTAGACCAACAGACACTTTCCAGTTCCGAATCCTCATCGAACCCGAAAGATTGAGTGCTGTCTTGGCACGCATAATAGTGCAGTCGGAGTCGAAGTAGATGCTCCAAACCGACCGTCAATCTTTCGTTGATTACGACGTTGTGGGTTTGCTTTCAGAGTAGCTTGTCGTTCGGCGGTCACCATGTAACTGTACGTTCGTCAGCACAGTGTGCATCGACCCCGAAGCGGCTGCCGAGGCCATGTTCTGATTCTGATATGTGACTGACTTGAGCATTCGTGTCATACACAGGGATCGCAATATCCATGCTTTCGACCATTTAAATTAGAGATTGCAATTGTCCTTTTTGGCTGTTCTTCATCGCAGTTATCTACTATTACGATAGTATTGCACTCTCCATGTTATGGCTTTGAATACTGTCGTATTTTAGGCTTCACTTCACTGTGTTTATGTCTACTGTCATGGCGTTACTCGTTGACTTGAACATTCAACTTCATTGTACTACATATACCTTGTCGTGCATGTTCTTACTAACGCGCTCTTGGCCACGGCTACCGTGCCGTTTGCGGATAATATGATTCTATCCGGTGCATATTAGTGCTCCTAGTCGCTTACATCTATTCTTTTTCCGTCATCTTGAATCCCCTTACCCTGGCCGCATTTTCATTTGGTATTTTTGTTTTATCATCACCCCACTATGTTATTCTTTTCATGGACTCTTCCTCCTGGTTTATTCACGAAGGTTCCTTGCGCGATTTCATGCGACAGCGTCAGTCCCTGTTCTGCAATCGACCAGTTGTGTTGGCCGATATATGTGCTCAAGTTGCCAACGGCATGGCCTATTTAGAACAAGAACAATTCGTTCATCGCGATTTGGCTGCGCGTAACTGCCTTGTGAAGTCTGTCAGTCGCAATTCTGTGCACGTGAAAGTGGCCGACTTTGGAATGGCCCGTTTCTTGTTAGACAATGTGTACGAACCCAGTGCAGGCACAAAGTTTCCCGTCCGTTGGGCACCGCCGGAAGTCTTCCAGTCCACTTACACCGCCAAAGCGGATGTCTGGAGCTTTGGTAAGTTTCATTTTGCTCATTTACTTAGTCTCGTTTGTAAAGTCCTGTTTTCCCATGGGACGGGCTTGATTTGGAAAACTTGATGTTCCTTTTTGATTTGTTATACCATCCTGAATCACACTGAATCCGTTTTGTCCCCGTGGGTCCCATTTGGTAAATTGTAGTGATCGCCACATTGCTTTGGCATTAATAATTTATGCGAGACAATTCCGCATATTTTACATTCGCTATATAGTTATACACCGAATAAATTTTGTCTGCTACCCTGCTATGAATATGCAATAATTCGCTTACCAGGGTCGTTATCTTGGTGACTGCCGCCGACAGCAAGGTGTTTTGTAAAGTCGAGCCATACACCATGTTTTATCATTGGTGTGCCAATTAGTACCTGCTGATGTTACTTATTAGGTGCTTTGTCAGCTAATGTGACTCTGCTTGCCCTCCATCCGTTTAACCTGGGTTAACTGTTTGTAACTACCATCCCCAACCATACTACTTGTTAACTGCGTGTTTGGAAAATACTGATGTCCATTATTTTTGCAGTCTATGGGTTTCAGCGTAGTAACTCCAACTCGTTGTTTAACATTACGGCAGTAGGTGCACGATGTTGTTGGGGCGGACGCGCCACACTACCCGCCGCTGCTCAACTGCACCAGAACCTTGAGGAGCTTTCTGCTCCTTTGATATCTCACTCTCAATACCCATTTTCAAGGGCTTGCTAGTCATTGTTTATTGTTATGAGGTTAGACTCTAAGAATGCTTTCGTAATGGTCTGTGGACCTATCCACTCACGCATCCTCAGTTCAACATCAATGGATGGCTTTCAGATAATGACCCCATTCAACACCCTGCTGAACACTTATTCTAATGGTACATACTGATAGGAGCCTGAAGTATTGTTAAACACAACGTCGGAACTGCGAGCGGGCCATGATTTGCATTTATCTCCGTTTTGTTTCTTCCGGTTTGCACCTGAGATGTGCGTCGTAAGCCGTTCGGAGCCTTTTCCCCATATTATTTATCTCGTTGCTGTCCTCAACAGCAATCGCGGACCAATCCCGAACGCAATGCCACCAGTCTCTCCTTTCTTTTCACAAATTCACTTATTGATAGAGGTGAATACTACTCGAGATGGTCTGCCAACTTGCAATATGTGTTAGTATCCTTTTTGATGGGTTGTTGAATTTCCGCCTCCTTTAGTACCAATACATCCTGTATCTTTGCTGACTGTATGCTTGTTGCTGCTGGGTAGTAATCCGGTCGTTATCACGATGCTCAAAAGTATTGCTTTTTATTGAGCTTGCATTTCTCTCCGTCCACGCTGATTGAGTTTATTTTGCTTCTCCTGTGACTACGGTATTCGTAATATTTCCCTACCTCCTCTTCCAGTATGCTAATGTTTTCGTTGCAAATCCATTTAAACGCCTTGGAGACACTCTGTACTCTGGCCCGAATGACAATGCTTCCATTTTTACAGCATTAATGCTCACGTTTAAAAGGTTCACCACATACTTACTGGGGTTTATTATACATTGTTCCTCAGCGTGTTTGCTCAATAACGATTTTTCAAGAGCTACCTCATGTCTTTTGTACGATGGATGATCGCTTTACAACCGCTGCGTCAAACTGGTCCGCGATGACAAATCGGAGGAGTCCTTCTCCAATCCTAGACTAGGTTACAGGCATGGTAACAACCTCCGCAAAGTACAGTGAGACATCCATCCTCTAAGCACTATCTATGGACAAGTGTAAACTGCACAAGAAGCAGCTAACCTTCCTAGACATCAATTCGCTCGTACTTTCTTTTATAAGTTAACGCATGGACATGTAATGGACACGGTTGTACATACGACCATGTCATGGTTCGCCTGATTACACGCTTATATTCACACACGAATCACGTACATTTCTCGACAAACAGTAGCTCTTGATAAGCAGTCACAGTAATTTCCGGTGTGCACCGCCATCTCACAGGCTCCACACTAAGATCACGCCTCCACCAGAACTTAACCACATCTTCACTGCCGCTGATCTTTCGCTACGCGAGTACAGCTCTCCAGCGTGTCCGGACAGCACACGCTGCAAGTCATTGAAGATGACTGCTATGAGCCTAGGTTAATTCTTATTCCAATTTTTCCAGCGCTCTCTGGACGGGATGCTGGTTCCAACTATGTGAAAGCGTGGAATAGTTACCCCTAATTACATGGGACACGATTATGCTGTGCCCGCAAACTACCGCCTGATTACTTTCCTCCCGGTGCTGACAAAAGTCTTGGAATCTCTCATTGCAGAAGCACTCATGGGATATAGAGTGAAATGCAATATCGTCTTGCAGGAGTGCCACGGCTTTCACCGAAACCGTTCTTTAACCACAAACTTTTGTTAGCATTTGCCAGCTGGATGGAATCCGTCGACGCTGGGGAAAAGGTCGACGCCGTCCACGTTGATTTCTCAAAGGCTTTTAACCGCCTGGACCACCACCGCATTCATCTTTACAAGCTTCGGTGCTATGAAATATATGACCCGATTCTGGGCTGGACACATTCATACCTGCTCCAACGCCGCTTGAATTTGAGACTTCGTATCGCTCCATATGACCCCGTAGATTTACACTCTGGCGTCTCTCAAGGCTAGGATCACAGCTATTCCTAGTGTTCATAAACGACCTCGCTGTAGTGTTCGCCTCAAACTTCAACCTTTGTGGGTGATCACAAGATTTGATGATCATTCAAGTGGGTAAACAACCACTGTAAGGCGATCTCAATGAAGCTTACTAGTGGTCGGCCCAAAACATGCTTGAGTGTAATCCTGTCAAATGTAAAATAATGGGCACACGCTACTAAAGCACCTACGAATATCGACTAGGAAAATAAGTTTTGAAGCGCGCTTCTCTTGAAAGTTATCTTAGTGTTCTCGTGCAGCGCCATCTCGGATACTCAGGAGAGACTGAGAAGGCGGTGAAAAAAAAGCTAACCAACACTTAGGTCTGCTACGGATGGTGTTTGACTGGTTCGATCTTACCTTCATTTTTGCAAATGAGGCCACATGTAGAATACGTCATTCTCAGGTGTTTCACCCTTGGCAAGAACACGACTTTACTGCTCTTGCTAATCCACAACAGTTTAAAGACTATAAATGTTCAGTGGACAATATCGTCTTCTGTGAGGTACTTTCATATTGGTGTATCGGATCCTCAAGGATCTTAACTACCTCTGCCGAAACAGCCACAACACCTCATTGATGGGCCACCAATTGAACTTGGCCGTACAGTATAGCTGGTTGGAATGTCACCGACAGTTTTTCTCCATTTATGTATCCCAGCCATGGAACGTTCTTCCGCATTCTGTCATCTCCGCTTCTACGTTAGCTGGTTCCAAGGTTAGCCTTGGTGATACATTGCACCACATACCGCCCATAGTTTAACCCACGTTATTGGGACACAGGATATCATAACCAAAGTGTGTGTACATGTGAATATTGCTGTGAGTCCACTGTTACGCGATACTTTTTTTGCTACAATCACTCTTTGGTCTCACCCTTTACCTACGGAATTAGTTAGGTGTACTTTTTATCCGTGTTAAATCCATTGTTCCATTGTACGCTATGAATTCGCTTTTGTACCAGTACATGTGGCCACATTCTACCAGCAGGCTGACGGTCAGCTTTAAGCACAAGACCTCATGTCGTGTACCACCTTACTTTGCTGTCCTTTCAGTTTGTCAACTGTTGTGGGAGATACTGTACCTGTTACGATCGTGATGTCCGTCTCGGTCGGACATGAATTGTATCCATCGTTGCTGTTTACTAGTGAAGTCCAATGCTCCCATCCGCTGTTGCTATTTTTCGGACCCCGATTTTTATCGGCTGGAATCTGGCAAGGAACACATCTACCTCTAGATGCGAACAGGACAGTTTATGCGCTTGTTGGACAGCACTCTAAAACGAGTGGGTAGTCCTCGTGGATTACAGAAGTTAGACCCTAAAATTGCTAATTGGCGTGGTGGGATCGATGGAGTCCGTACCTAATCCGCTGGTTCATACAGGGGGACCTGAGTGTGTGGCCTACCTTGAAGCTACGAATTGAAAAACTAAAAACAGCGATTGTGCAACTGCCAAGCTTTGTCGGGTAAACCTTATACCAACTTATCGGCTATCCTGACACATCTATAGATCGGAGCAAACTCTTGCGTCATTGTTTCATTTTAAAAGCCTAATTTTGAGTCACGTTTTAAGTGCTAGGACAACACTTTAAGCTTGTACATGTACTCCAGTTCGCTCCCATGTCATTTGAACAGGTCATCTTTCCCATTAGTTACTTCACTTGCTGATTTCTTTGTTAGCTGTCGTTCGAGTGGATTTGAATCATTACTCATTTTTTCTGTGGCACCCACCTTCACTGCGAAGTACTTCGGTTTGGGCATTTTGCGGCTGCCCTTATTCCGGTCATCTGATCTGCATTACTTTCATCCACTATTCAGAGACCCCTGGTAGATTTTTGCGCTTCGCAGATGTCTCCAATTGGCATATGGCTTATTCACCTTGTTCCTCATCGATTGGTTATATTCCAACTATACCGGCTAGTGTTTTCATTACATTGTGGGTCTAACTGACGTATGAGCACCCTGGGAACCACGTTAACAGCAAGCGACGCGGTCTTGTGCGATCGTGCATTGAGACATGGTCGGAACCTATTCGCCCCATTTGTAGCAGATGACAATATCTCTTGTGGATTCCAGATCAAGCATATCGTCCTGCTGGTGTCATACGATTCAGTGCGAATCCTTCTACTGGCGAGCAGTACTCTTGACGAGGGTTGTTGTTGACAAAATGTTGGTATTCCTTGCTTTTTGGAAATTTATTCGCCGGTCACGTTCGACCATTATTACGCTGAAAAATGTTTAACTTCGTACTAGCAAAGACTCGGAAGTAAAAAATCTGGTTTCCCCTGGTATTACTAATGATTAGTGGGGATTTGGTTTGATTAGAGGTAGTTCCTCACGGTCAACTCTCAGTTAGCAGCCTTTGGGTAGTCTGGAAAGCACCAAACAACGGTGTTTCAAACTTCTGGGTCTCGTCAGTGGTGCGCCTTCCAGCCGACCCCTGCCGGGTTCCGCCACCATGACTTCCGGATTCCAGCAGCTAATGCCACTTCGCCATGGGTAACAGCCGCGGACCTGTCTGATAGCCCGGCTCATCTTCCATTACCGTGCCAGTAACGAACTATGCAGAGGACAGCAGTTAGCTCCGCGAGCTAGAACTTTCCGCATGACTCCTTGGTACAACGCAAGGACTTAGAAGCTATATGGATAGCAATGTTATTTCACTGTAAACTGGATTTTTGCCGCTGTTCAATTCAAAACTTAGGCTGATCAAGATAATCGTGCATACTACGCGAGAATGTGTGTTTCTGCGTTAGTTCGGTGTTACCAATCTGCTGGATACATTTACTTACGGTTGGGCATCGGAACCAACTTTTTCAGTGGTCATTTGTGTGTACGGAATGTTACAGTCCACTGGTTTAAATAAATAAATAAGTAAATAGTTTTATTCTCGAGGTAACATCAAAGGATGTACACCAAAGGACAGTGGTAAGTGTTGGCGAAACACATGGTTCAAAAATAGTACATAATTTTCGTATAAGAAAGTTGCAAGGCTGATGGGAATGTTCATTGGAGTCAGATAGAAATGTGACGGTGAAGCGCAGTAAGATCTATACATGTTTCCGTTATGGGAATACTGGGTGGGGGTTCGAATATTTCCGGAGATTGGTCTTCATTATTCTGTGGGCGTCGGAAATTGATAGAATGCTTGATAAACATTGTTGGACGAAAGGTTGCGATTTTGTTCATATGCCGTTGTGCTCACAAATTTGGGTTCTTGGGATCGTCGCCAGTCTTTAGCAATGGGCAGTAACTTTATTTTGATATCGAGTCACATCCGCCTCATCGCAGTGTTGTTAAACGGACATTTGTGACTTTTCATAGGGAGAACCCTTGCCAGTTGAAAACTCACTACGTCCTGAAACACTGCCGTTGACCACAACTTGAATAGCAGTGAGCCACTGGCGACGCCACTTTAAGACCGATTTTCCGCATGGCTAATCGCAATCCTGGTGCACCTATTTTTTCGTTGGCTAAGCGAAAGCTTAGTCAGAATTCACCGGTAACGGTTGGAATTGGCGGTACCTTACGGATATTGCGCTATGCAGAGTTGCGCAGGTGAGCAAGCAACTCAGAGTAATGAAGGTCGGCTATTTCATATGGGGTATCGTTGTCGGAGCAGATAACCCACGGGTCAGGTGGTTTGCGCAGGCAAATCCACGAGGAATAACCGTTGTAGGTAAATAGAACGCTTGCTGGGCGATAAAGATTTTTGAGATGTTTCAAACATAAAATTTTGATTTGAATCCAATTGTTCAAGCCGATAGAAAACACCGATCAAGGGGCTTGCTATGGTCTCCAGAATACAGGTATGACCGAAAGCAATAGTATAAAGCACAGTCAATATGCATCTGAAAGGCATGCGATCTTTGGTGGGCCATACTGGCTAGGTGGGTATGGTAACCATGGTATAATGACGCCAAGCACATGGTGATTCTGACAATGCAAATGAAATAATCCAATGGCGAAGTGTGGACTGGGTTTACACGCACCTTTCCACAATAGGCTTACTCTTCATATAGTTACTCTTTATAAATAGCACACGCTGTCGCTTTTGGACTTTTACAACGCTTTGGAGTTATACTCAAGACTGTCTCTCAACATTCGATCTCTTCTCAATTTGTTAGCTACATGATTTGCCACCGTCACTTTCCAAGCGTATGTTAAGTTTTACCTGTCTCTTTTTTATGCTTGACTGATTGATGTATATTTGGCGAAGTGAAAGAATGTGATATCCATTTTGAACGGCTCCTCGAAAATAGTGGACCATTTCCCGTGATTTTTCGGCCTTTTATTACGATCGGACTACCTCGTCTTTGATCGACTCCGACCAACCTTTTTTAGTCTTGGGCAGGTGGTTTTCCCTAAAGCGTTCAGGGTATGGCGTTATCGTTTGCACGACTGTTATCCAACTGCCACACCGCAGTTGTGTAATGCCGCTAGCGGACTTCCTTACAGAAGTATTCCATTGATCACGGAGTCGCACTTTTTGCGATCACGTACCTTTATACATCCGTGTCCCTTTCAGGACACTCATTGAGCAGGAAGCATCATAAACAGGCACTCAGTGCGTTTACTTACCTGTCCGAAAGCTGCTGACGTTTCTTACTTTGCTTATCATCATTCCTCGATCAACATTGCTCTTTGTCCGTTCAGCAACATCGTACCCACCACCAATTTTTCTTAATGTTGCTTGTTCTTACCCACCCAGAACGTTTCTGGTGTTCGGTCGCTCAGTTAGCTCTTCCCTGCAGTACAGTTCTCACTCTCGTAGGTAATACTGCATAGTTTTTTATTCTCCGCGGTGTATCTGATCTATTCCCATGCCTCCTCACCTCTTTGCCGGCTTGACTCAGTGGCCGTTTCTGGCTATGTACCAGCGCGAATATTTCTGTGTGTAGAAACGTTACACTTTATCGGGTGCTGGTCGTTGTATTAACTATTTCCCATGCTTAAATTGCACACCTGCCAACCGTTCAACTTTCAGGTGGCTTAGATATGGCAAAAATTAAGTGGATACTTCACCATTTTTGAGACATGTTCAATAAGCTATTGCCCTTTATATGCTATTTTCACGATTTTTTTGTCCCACTCTGTTGTAAAATTCGGCTAGCTTCTATGGCCGACAGGACTTTTGTGGACATCTCACTCAGGAAGTGTTCTCAACGCTTTATTTTGCCCCGACGGTAGTGAAGGTAACAAGAAACTCCGATTTCACCATTAGCGTTTGCCGCACACTGGCGAACTGATCCACCCAGCTGCACACGACTGCCCACTTGCATGCGTCTCCTCGGACACGTAATTTTCACTCATTGCATCATATGACCTCTTTTCTCGTCAAGTACCTGTCTCATCTCTCAGATTTTAGGTTGTGTGCGATGGTAGTATTGTCACCGGATATTTTTCCAACTAAACATGCTATAGTTTTCTTCTACGTATTTGACCTTGTAGTATGATAACCGACAGATGCTTCATCTGCTGTATATCTGTGCACACCACACGGAGAGGCTGTCAAGAATCACTGGCTGCCAACTCTTAACTTGAACGACTACTCGGTGCTTATCTGACTTCTTAAACTAAAAGTCATCGCCCGCGTTCACGGGTTACTGATACGGCGTGTGTCTCAAAGTTCATTTTCTCTTTTGATCTTTAGGTGTCCTCATGTGGGAAATTTTCACTTGTTGCGCCGAAAATCCGTATCAAGGTAAAAACAACACAGAGGTTTATCAGCACATCATCGCCGGTGGTCGTCTGCAAAAACCTGCTGTCTGTCCCCAGCATCTTTACGTTCTCATGTTGGAGTGCTGGCAACATGTGAGTTTGAGACAATCACCGTTCCTTTGTGTATCACTGCTTAGTAATTCCCTGTTATTCCACTCCTCTCTGGCTGTAGCCACTATCAATCCGCATTTCAGCCTCGATGGTTCTTTCGCTTTCTAGGTGTTTCACTTGGTTCTTTCCACTACCTTCGTTTTCATCGCAGCTTGTTTACTCTCATCTTCATTAAATTAGTGTGCTCATCACAAGCTTGTTTGCCCACTGCGATGCGATTTGACACGCAAACGTATGCTGGTGCGTTGCTTCACTCTATTTCGAGGTCGATTTCAAACAGCCTGAACCGGCTGGGTTACACAGGTAACAGTGAAGTGAGCTGGAGCGTATCGCATTTTGTCGCTATCTCTAAGCACTATTTTAATCTCTTACACACGCTATGTGTGCATGTGTAGGTGAAGTGCACATTTAATGTCAAACCAATGGTAACGTCTTACACATGATAGTTGCTCGGTTTCAACTCTCACAGGAGATACCATAGAGTCAGTACATCGGGGAATTTTCTTTTTGCGAATCCCAGAAAGATTCTGTTGTCAACAATGCACGAAGTTAATAGCAACGGAATCGTGTGTGGAATGCAGACGATAGTCACGAGAGAACAACGCTCAGCAATTCACTCTACAATCGATCTTGGCATTCTCGATTTTACTTCCTACTGTTTGTGCGACTGAACACAAACCGTGTCTACACCGTTAGTTAGGTTATGCTGCCTTAACTCCGCTACCTATTGTATTGTATATTTGCAGCCATTTTTCCTCACTCGTTCGCGTATTCGATAATGTTTGTTGGACCTTCTCATCATCGGACGTTCCGTCATGCTTGCTCATTTTAGGATCCAAGTCGAAGACCAGCTTTTGAGTACATTTGCCAAAAAATCGGCGCATATCTCGATCAAAATTGTGAAAATTGACGTGAAAAATTCGGATTCTGCTGCATCCTCAGCCCTTTTTGCATCATTTCTATGCTGACCTGCAACACTGCGCCCTCACTTTTATAGGACCTTCAGCGGTGCTTCCCCCCACTGCTCATTCTTCACACTCCCTCTCCGGTTCGTCAAATTATTTTGTATCTTTTATTTTTCGATTCTCATCTGTATGAAACGACATCATCTCATAGCTTATCTCGTCGCCGCAGTACATGTGACCAGCCATCGTTTGAACCCACTACCATCTTATTTATTTGAAGTTGACGGTTTCCATCAAATCCTGCATTTTTAACGTTCCATCAGCCTCCATTCCCTATTCACAAATGTCGGTGTATATACACGTTTTCCCGCTCACTCGACCTAGTTCACGATGTGGATCTTCGTCCGTGTGCTCCAAGGTTTTTCATCTTCTCCGTATAGTATGCGTTTGGTTGTTTGCCAGCGTGTCTATACAGCTACACCGACGTGTTAGTATGCTTGTCTAATGCATGCAAGGCAAGACTCACTATGCGTCCTCTGTTCCTGGTGAAGTTATTTTCTCTTGACACGTTCATCTGTACAAATACACTACAATTAAAAGCTTCTACTTCTCTTCATTTGTTTATCGTTTTCCTGATAAACTTCGATTTCTACTTCCGCGGTTTCGTCTTTTTCCGGTGTTATCTTGGCTATTACACTTCGGATTTTGTGTCTCTTTTGCAAGTGTCGGGTTTGAACATTACAAACTATGCTATTGAAAGGGTTTTTGACTCGAGAAGCGTTCTATCTCTGTAGTGAACTTCAGGCTTGATGCTATATAACAGCGTGTCAGCCTTCCTAGTGCAGCCACTTGAAGGTGTGGTGTCGATTTGTGCTCGCAGTAGGTAGAGGTACTTTTAACTGTGTCATGTTTATGGTCTGGCGGTATGGCATCAGTGGTACGCCGTACCGAGGCTTCGGTGCCACGCAGCCGCCACCAGTCGCGCTTAGGCTAACGATACTGCGAGGGTCGCCCGGTCCTTATACAGGCTCGAACCCGCGACCTCCGGATTACAATACAAGCTTGGGATCCTTTCGGTCACGGACCGCCTGTCGGTATGAGGAGCATTCTCATCTGATCATAGGGAAATACCTATCTTACTCTGCGTGGCGCGACTCTACTAGATAACCGTCTTCAATATTGATCAGCGCTGCTGTTTTTCAAATAAAACAGCCAGGGTTCATTTATGATGTCAAAGTAGTCGATAAAATAAATAGTTCGACCAACAAGATAACACCGCTGATTTGTATGGAACTTGAGAAATTGGTAAAGGTTGTTTTTTTGAGACTTAGCATTCCTCAGGCACGTCGGGCTCCAACCAGTATGATTCTGATTTGCATGCCGCTTTCTTTGGCCACATCTTTTTTCACTGGGAGTTGGCTGCACCCATATCGACGGTATTTTAGGGCAACATCTTCATGTTCAGTGCTTTACAGCTTCAGTCCGTTTTCCTGTTTTGCTGCCTACTGATTAGTGTCGGCACACTGTGTTTTGAAGTCACACTCCTGAGCCACTTGCGTCGTGCGGGTTCGACGAACAGTCCTTATCACAAATTATGAGTACTGATAGGCAGCTTTGTCTGAGATGATTGTCCACCTTTGCATATATTTAGCACACTAACTCCTTCTATGATTACGCAATTGTGGCAACAGCTAGCCGCTTGTGCAAATCCGAGGAGCCGGCCCTTGCGATGCGGGCCAATCAGGGCTTGCGACTGCAAGTGCGTCAGGCGTGTGAGGTTCCGGATAGCCGCTTGAGCGAACAGCAGTTAGTAACATATGGCAAACCAGTCAATCTGGTGCACGCATCGACGATCCAGAGAGAGGAATATGGCGGTTGGCTCAGTGGCAGATCGGTTTGGCGGAACACCCACATGCAGATGAGGTAAAACGACAGACTGGACATACAAAGCGGAACTGCCGTATCCAGCCGTGGCTCAAGGCGAATAAACGAAGCTGGGGCAGAAGCTGACAGATCAATGAACGCTGTGCAATACGAAAGTCGCAGCGGCTAATATCGGTATATAACCATTCCCCACTTGTGTACAGTATAAAACGACGCTCTGATTCTTCAATAACAAACCCGGATCGTTGCCCAGACTTTCTTTTGACTCTGAGAGCACTACACGACATGGCGAAGGTGGAGAAGAAGGCGATACGCCGGTGTCCAGTCGCTGTTGCTGGAAATCCGTCTATTCCACTTCCGACCGATGTGCTAATGGCGGAAAATTCACTATTGGATAACTGAAGATTGCGGAAACCGAGGTGGATGGATTTCGTGACCCTGGCACATTTGGACACACGTCTGATGCCACATCAACTGGCTATGTTCAGACATGCCATCGGCGTTTAATCAGCATGAATAACAATCTTGTGTGTCGATTACGTGATACTGATGAAGCATTTCTAAGTGGCGAATGATTCGGGATTCGAATGCAGTCACATCCCCTGCCTTCTCCAGTCGTTTAAATTTGTTAGTGTCACTGAGTATGATACTCATCTTCTCGATGTATTCAACTTTGTTCCTGACTACAACGCCTGAACCCTTATCCGGCTTCATTACAACGACATCCTTATCGCGTAATTCGCGTAATGCTCGTAGGTATCTGTTCGTAAGCGCGCACTTTTCTTTTATTGGCGCATTTTTTACTTCATAAGCAACATCGGTCAGTTTGTTTCTAAGCCATTTAAGCTTATCGGTACTAGTTGGTTGAAGGTCCTTCAACTGATCAAAAAAGTTCTCAAACTGAGCCTCAATGAACAATCCTATCAATCGTCTAGGAGGCACTCTGTAATCTAGCCCGAAAGACAATGCTTCTAACTGTAGTGCATCAAGTTTCACATTTGACAGATTCATCACATACTTACTGGGGTCCCGAGTACATAGCTCCTCATTTTGGTTGTTCATCAATGTTTTTTCAAGCCGTGCTAGTTCCTTCATTTTGGTACGATCGATTTTGACTTTACAAAATTGGGTGTATATAATCCGAGAGCAGACTGACAAGTTTGCGACTACGGGTAACAGGCGTGCATGGGTTTCTACTAGGCCATCAAGTCTGGCTCCCGCGGTCTCCAACTGGGCAGTTGCGACGCGTCTGAGATTAGCTGCAGAAGGTTTAAGCTTGTTTCTACGTAACAGTTTCCAAATCGCCCGAGGATAACGACGCATGCGAATACAATCCGACAAAACACTGAGTTCCCGAATTAAGGAACTTGTACCAAAATGGGTTCAGTGCGGACTTATTCAGCAAGCAAGCCTAACTCAGACTACATGTGTACGCAGGCCGCCAGCATCTTCGATCGGCAGGCACTTATTGACATCGGGTCACCAAATTGAGGTCAACAAGGTATTTCGAATCCTGCTTCGCCATACTAATTCCCTGCTCCTCCGGTTTGCCGAGGCTATTGCCATTAATCGGATTAAGCCAGTGCTTTGTATTCAAAAACAATTATCGGTCAGCCTCAGGCTGCCCTGGTTGTAGAACAAAGACACCCCTTTTTTCTCCTTTGTTTGTATGTATGTCTGTACCCACAAACTGTTGTATAAGATTACCGGTTATCGTTATCGGCACTGATGAGACGATACGAAATGCGTGCTTCTACCGAGCTTCATCTTCTAATGGTGCTTTCCAAGTTACTAAAGGGAACTAACTGTTTTAAATCTGATAAGGCTTTCATCCCAATAGTTCACAAGCTACATAGCAGAGCCTAGTCAGGAAAAGCGCCAGACGCGTTTCGCCCTATTGAGGCTCGTCAGTGGCGCGCATTCCCTCGGTCCTCTAAGGAGGATCGAACCCATGACCGCTAGAGGCAGATGCCAACTAGCCAGCAGCTTAAGCCACTAAGCCATGGGGGACGTAGGCTGGGCTACATAATTTGCAAACTAACTGGGATATAGCACCACCTATCTACCATTGTCACTGACAGTGGTTAGCCTGCGAGGTGATTACGTCCTCTCACTAAACGCTATTACTATAGCATTTGAAAATAGGAGAGGCTTTTATTTAAATTTATTTTTATTCATTTATTATTTATACTTATATGTATATATATATATTATTTAAATTTCTCAAACGACGAATTCCCCTTGATCCCATTAAACTGCTTCATCGTATCGTCAATCTGCGTTGCAAGATTGCTTGCATACGTGTGGAAATTAACTTTTTGTCTGATTGTATTCGCATGCGTCGTTATCCTCGGGCGATTTGGAAACTGTTACGTAGAAACAAGCTTAAGCCTTCTGCAGCTAATCTCAGACGCGTCGCAACTGCCCAGTTGGAGACCGCGCGAGCCAGACTTGATGGCCTAGTAGAAACCCATGCACGCCTGTTGCCCGTAGTCGCAAACTTGTCAGTCTGCTCTCGGACTATATACACCCAATTTTGTAAAGTCAAAATCGATCGTACCAAAATGAAGGAACTAGCACGGCTTGAAAAAACATTGATGAACAACCAAAATGAGGAGCTATGTACTCGGGACCCCAGTAAGTATGTGGTGAATCTGTCAAATGTGAAACTTGATGCACTACAGTTAGAAGCATTGTCTTTCGGGCTAGATTACAGAGTGCCTCCTAGACGATTGATAGGATTGTTCATTGAGGCTCAGTTTGAGAACTTTTTTGATCAGTTGAAGGACCTTCAACCAACTAGTACCGATAAGCTTATATGGTTTAGAAACAAACTGACCGATGTTGCTTATGAAGTAAAAAATGCGCCAATAAAAGAAAAGTGCGCGCTTACGAACAGATACCTACGAGCATTACGCGAATTACGCGATAAGGATGTCGTTGTAATGAAGCCGGATAAGGGTTCAGGCGTTGTAGTCATGAACAAAGTTGAATACATCGAGAAGATGAGTATCATACTCAGTGACACTAACAAATTTAAACGACTGGAGAAGGCAGGGGATGTGACTGCATTCGAATCCCGAATCATTCGCCACTTAGAAATGCTTCATCAGTATCACGT